TACTTACCTGGTGTAGCTGATTGCCACAAAGCACTTCCCACGCAGTCGGGGACTTAGCCTCACAGCACCCCTGGAGCCAGCAGAGCCGGCCCGCCGTGACCCCTCGCTGGCCACCTTGCTCCGAAGATACAGGCATGGTGGCCCCCAGCCCCACACAGCCAGCCCAGCCTCACCAGCCAGCCCCACACAAGAGAAACAAGTACTTCCAGGGCAGAGGAGGAAATAGACTTTGGGGCTGATTGCAAACAGGCTGCAGCTGGGCTAACTGCCTCCAGCACCTGGGCCTAAAAGGGCCGGTGTCCCCAGCAGGGTCTGCAGCCCTTGGCACGGTCCCCTGCAGCAAAGCCTGGCCTGTCACCCTTTGCCCACCCTCAGCCTGCGCTACCCCTCACCCCCAGGCTGGCCCTGTGTGGGTGCTGCCCGGGGCGATGTAGAGGGGGGAAATGTCCCCCACTTTGCCTGTGGGCGTGTTCTAGCCCCACTCCGTGCCTCAGTTTCCCCAGCAGCAGAAGGGACCGAGTGGGTGCCACAGGGGCGGCGGGAGAATAAATGCCCTGGAGGTGGCCAGGGGCTCGTACCCTGGGAAAGGGGCTGGCGAGTCCATGGCCAGGCAGGTGCCGGCAGGTCGGCGGGATCCTCCTTGAGCCCCGTGGGTCACGGGCACCACAGAAACGGCTGCGATTCCATAAGGGACCCCCCCCGCCCCCTCTCCGGGAGCCGGGGTTTGCCGCGGCCGGGATGCGCGGGGACCGGGATGCGCAGGGACCGGGATGCGCGGGGACCGCACCGCGCTCCCGCTGCCCGGGAAAGACTCTTTCCAGGCCAGAAGCTGGATTTTTGGTTCCCTCTAGTGTTGCGGCGCCGCAGCGCGGAGCGGGGCTCGGGTTCTCCGCGGCGGTGGCTGCTGCCAGGAGCCCGCGGGCCACTGCTTGCCCCCGGGACCCCCGGGTGGCCGGCGGCGAGCGGGGGCACGGGGTGTCCGTCCCGGCCGGCCCTTACGAGCCCGACACGCAGCCGAGGATGGGATTTTCCCGATGCCCAAGTGATTTAGGAGCACAAGGCGGGGAGCAATCACAGCAGAGCGTGTACCCCCGTCGCAGAGCAGTGTTTCCACAGCGGGTTTCCAAGCCTGGTCACAGTGAGGGGGGTGAGGTGTGCGCCCAGGGCCAGTGGGGGTCCCACCACAGGGCAGGGCTCTGTGTCCTCCCCAGCTCCAGCACAAGCCCAGAGTCACCGAAAAGTTGGGGCAGGGCCAAGGCAGGGTCCCGAGACACACAGTCTGGATTCACGAGGCCCCTTTCTTCGCTTCCCAGCTCCAGCCCCCGGTGAGACCCACCATGGGGAGCCATCCCATCCACCCCCGGGCTCGCTCTGCTGCTGCTGGGCTGCGCTCCCAGCATCACTGCTGCCTGGCTGCTCGGCCGGCCCGGCCCCGGGGCAGCTGTCTGTCTTAGTGCGAGCCCTTATTTCCTAATAACCACTGCTTTGGGGCATGTGCGACATGGAAATGAGGGCTGAAACGTTATTTGCTTTGGTTGGGAGGGTAATTTAAGACCGGTGGATGGCTGCTGTTTTGGCAGACACGATGCTGTTGATGGATGCGCTGCCTTTTTCGGGAGCAGAACAAAGGGAGAAGGAGGCGTGTGGCTGGCTCCCCGCCAGCCCGGCCCCATCTCTCCCCGTCCTCGTCAAGTGCTCCTCTTTGGCTCCATTAGTCACCATTTGCTGCTCTCCTGTTTTAACTAACGAGGAGACATTTTGCATTCATGTTTCCTCACGGGCCAAACGCGTCCCTGGCATCCCGGAGATGGCGGAGCAGCGCTGGCGGGCTCCGGGCTGGGCGAGCCGAGCTGCTGCTCCTCCTCTTCCTGCCCCGCTGCCTTTTCTCCTCACATGCAGCCGTGGATTAAGAGCTGGCCAAGCCACAGCCGGCCAGAGCCCCTCTCCCTCGTACCTGTTCGTCCAGAGACTGGCGATGCCAACAGGGAATAGCCGGTGCCAAGGGGAAGCTGTTCGGAACTGGAAATCTTCCCAGAGGAAAAGGACGCTCCAGTTGTCCACTGCGTTATTTACCCAATCCCCTTTGTGTCATAGAAAAGATTTACTTTGAGAAGATTAATGGCTCAAGGGACTGTGAGAGAAATCCCCCAAGATTGCCTGGTTCAGGGGAGAAGACGAACGCCTCCTCGCCGAGGCCGCAGCTCCCAGCTGACCCCCGGGCTGTGGGCACAGGGAAAGGGCTGTGGGGCTGGGCCTTGTCCCCCAGAGCACCCTCTGATGGGGACCAGGACTGTGTGAGAGCAGGAGCCTCTCACCGTGGCAGGGGCAGGAAAAGGGCAGCTGAGCAGAGAGATGGTGGCCTTTCCCTGCGCTCTTCCCAGCATCCCACTCCCATAGCTCCCAGGCTCAACGTCCAAAGCGAAGGACAGCGGAGGTGTGGAGAGGAGCAGAGAGCCTCAGAAGCAGCTCGAGCCCATGTGCCAGCTGGGCGAGCAGGGACTGCTGGCAGCACCCCTGCCCCTGGCACAGGGAGGCCACATTTACCATGCGTCATATAATTTCCTTATGCCTTTCCCTCATTCCCGGCTCCCAGGTTCCCTGGCTCCATCCTGGAGGGCCACGTAGCTGGGCCGCTGGCAGTTTAGCTCCGATGGTAGCCTGGGCTCCTGACATAACCCCCAGGGCAAGTCTTCGGGTGCTGGCAGCACGTCCTGCTCAGCTGCTGCACACCCTGTCAGCATCCCCGACCCGTGGCACAGCCCCCAAACCCCAGCCCGGGGTGTGAAGGGCTAGGCGAGTGTGCACGCACACGTGGGTGTCCACAAGCCGTGCAGAAAATGCTATTAATGCCATCTGGTGCCGAGACAGAGATCCCCCTGTGCAGGGAGCCAGACACGGCTTTTCGCTCCCCTTAATCTCCCTTGGAGCTGCAGGGGTTCTGTCTGCGGGGCTGGGGACAGGGGACACGCACCCTGAAGGGCATGACTGAGCCCTGAGCCCTGGCACAGCCGGGTGCTGGGGAGCCCTGGGCCTCAAGGATGGGGGACCAAGCTGAGGACAGTCTCATTTCATACCCCAGCTGCCTTCCTGGAGCTAAGTGCCCTTTAACTCCTCCTTTGGGGGGACACAGCCACCCCACGCTCCTCACCGGGGATCAGAGCGGGGAGAAGGAAGGGCCACCTCTGCCGAGAGCAAACCCTTGAGCTGCTCTGTGCTGTACAATGGGGTCTCTTCTCCCTCCATTGAAGGACCCTGGTTCCCCTTTGAGCCGTGCAAAGCCACAATGAGTCTTTATTAGTGGGTCAGTGTCAAGTCAAAAGTATATTTCAAAATAATCTCCTTACTGTGTTAAATAAGCACCTTAGATTAGACAAATTGCACGGATTTTGTCTAATAACCTCCCCCCCAGCTAATCCTATTTTATTGGCAACATCTGACCTCAATGGAAGCCCAAACAGACCAGGTGAGCCCGTTCCTCCTCCGCCGGGACGGTTGGGTCCCAGAGCACAGAGCACCCCCCGTGGGGCTGTGGACCCCGCAGGGGCCTCAGGTGCAGTGAGAAAGCACCCGGAGCGGGGCAAGAGCTCTCAGAGCCCTGGCGGGACGGGGAGCTGCCCGCAGGGACCCGCAATCCGCCCGTTCTCACCCCAAACCTTCCCTGGCAAAGGGAGGGGAGCAAATCTGCGCCCCGCTGCATCCCCCCCCGCGGTCCCCACCTCCCCGCTTGTGCGGGGCGACCCGCCGCAAAGCCCCGGGGGCCGGGGGGCCGGTGTCTGGGGGGGCCGGGGACCAGCAGAGCCGGTGTCTGGGGGGGTCCGGGGGCCAGCAGAGCCGGTGTTTTTGGGGGACCGGGGGCCAGCAGAGCCGGCGGCGCGTTCGCCCGGCCGGTCGCTAGGTGTCTGTATCGGTCCAGCTCTCCCGGGTGAACCTCCCTCCTCGCTCGCCGCCCAACCGCCGGAGTGTTTGCTTCCTTTTTTTTTTTTCCCTTAAAAAAAAAAAAAAAAAAAAAAAAAAAAGGGGGGGGTTGGTAGGTTGTGGGGGGAAAAAAAAAAAGGAAAAAAAAAAAAAAAAAAAAAAAAAGAGAAAAGGAAAAAAGACATGACACGATGATAATGTTCCCATGGTCAAAGGATGAATCTCACATGTATATGAAAGTTTCTTCTCCTACTTTCAGAAAGCTGTCCTACTTACACTAAAATGGCAAACCTTTCAACTGAGTTCCCTGCAGGAGGACTTATTGATCATGAGTAGTACTTTACTATCAATCAACAAACTGTTGTGACTAACAAAGATGTTATCTTTGCCATAGTATTTCTGTGTGAAAGAGGGAGATGGTGACTGGCAAAAGAGACTGTAGAAATAATAATCATATATATTGTTCATACAAATGATATTAAAAAAAACCTGTGCCACCTAGAAGTTTTTACCCATTTAGTCCT